TCCACAATGGGTTTGCGAACCTCACCTTCGTGTACTATTGGCTCTATAGCCCCTGTATTGTTTTCTTACGAGCGAACGGCGAAATTGTGGGTTTCCGAACCCCTTCTTCGTGTACTATTGAATCAGTGGGTTTCCGAACCTCATCTTCGTGTACTATTAACTGTATAGCCCCTGTATTGTTTTCCTATCAGCGAATGGCGAAATTGTAGGTTTCCGAACTCCTGCTTCGTGTACCTCCGACTATTTTATGTTGTTCTGTTTGGTTTAACGGACTGTGTGAACCCGAACCCGAACCCGAACCCGAACCTGAACCCGAACCCGAACCCGAACCCTTACCCTTACCCATTCATTCCTGGTAGACACGAAGGTGAAGTTTGACCCTAGTAGTAGTAGTAGTAGTAGTAGTAGTAGTAGTAGTAGTAGTAGTAGTAGTAGTAGTAGTAGTAGTAGTAGTAGTAGTAGTAGTAGTAGTAGTAGTAGTAGTAGTAGTCGTAGTAGTAGTAGTAGTAGTAGTAGTAGTAGTAGTAGTAGTAGTAGTAGTAGTAGTAGTAGTAGTAGTAGTAGTAGTAGTAGTAGTGTAGTAGTAAGTATAGTAGTAGTGTAGTAGTAGTAGTAGTAGTAGTAGTAGTAGTAGTAGTAGTAGTAGTAGTAGTAGTAGTAGTAGTAGTAGTAGTAGTAGTAGTAGTAGTAGTAGTAGTAGTAGTAGTAGTAGTAGTAGTAGTAGTAGTAGTAGTAGTAGTAGTAGTAGTAGTAGTAGTAGTAGTAGTAGTAGTAGTAGTAGTAGTAGTAGTAGTAGTAGTAGTAGTAGTAGTAGTAGTGGTGGTGGTGGTGGTGGTGGTGGTGGTGGTGGTGGTGGTGGTGGTGGGGGTGGTGGTGGTGGTGGTGGTGGTGGTGGTGGTAGTGGTGGTAGTCGTAGTGGTAGTAGGTGTCGTAGTGGTGATGTGAGTCGTGGTTTGTGTAGAAGTCACCCCAGGAGATTTGGGAGTCTCCTGGGCATCTATTGCATTAGAAGTCCCCCCCTGGATATCCAGAGAATTTGCATGGATCTGGGGACGCTCCACTTTATGCCCCGCGGCACGGTGGCGGATCCTTCTCGCATTCCTTCTCGCTGTGATCCTCCTGCGCCCCTCTTGCCAAGCCAGGTGACCAGGGTCGTCAACGGCAACGCGATATACCTGAGCGGCCACTTCTCTGAGGAGTGCCGGGAGGTCAGTCACGGATAAGCCAGCATTTTCGCTGGAAGTCCAGGCTCAGGAATGTGGAGCAATGAGGTAGAGAAGAGAGGGGACGAAGGAGAGAAGAGGGAAGGGGAGGGACGGATGGAGCGGGGGAGGGAGTGGAGCGGAGTGGGCGGATGGAGGGAACACGAGGGAGAGGACGGGGAAGGAATGCCGTATTGGAGGGGACGCCTCGGAGCCTTAGGGAGGGAGAGTATCATGGCATGGCGTGGGTGGGCGCGGAGGATTGGCGGGGAGGAGGAGGGACAGGCGGAGAGAAGAGGAGGGGAGGGCTGGCCAGGGGGTGTGCTCGGTGACAGAGCGCGCCAGTCCTTGCACGGGTTTTCCCCGCGCACGCGGCGTGCCCCCTCTTCCCGCCACCCGCTTCCCTCCTCGCATCCCCGCCCCCCCCTGCACTCCTCCCTGCTCCATCGGAAGACGCCAATTGCATGCATACACCGATCATGGCCAGGCCAATCCTGCGCCTAGTATCGATGTAGGCACCTTCCTGGCCAAGGGGCGCGTGTACATCGATTCTTGGCCCAGGATGGCCTAGGCCAGGATCAGTGTAGGTGCATGGTTGGCGCCCGTCTATCGTCCGTCCACCCCCCACCCTCGTCTATCCTAGATTCGCCCTCCTGTCTCAATACTCTTCTACGGTCCCGCCCCTCCTCCCTCCACCCTCCCTTATCCTCTACTGTCGCTTCCATCCCCCAGTCTTCATTTTTTGGCCCGAGGAGTTTGAGGTGACCTGCCTCATGGGCTGCGCAAGCGAGAATCGCGACTCGGTGGACATGGAGACAATGTGAGCGGGGACTGTCCGTACGGTCCGGGGGATGAGGAGGGGGATGGTAACACCAATTCGGTCCCCACCGAAACTTTCGGCGCCTGTTCCCGAGTCTGGTGCTGTTCGTTACCGTGGCCAGCCTGAGCTCGGCGCGCGTGTCGCGTTTGATTGGACGCCGTGACTCGGTCGCTGCTGCATCCTACTTTACCGCAGTCTATTCGTTTCTGTTCTGTTCTGTCCGTACCTGATTTGTTTTTGAGAATAACCTTACGTCGGCTCGCATGTTGCATTTGATAGGGTGCCGTCAACTCTTGGCTGTTGCGTTCTAGAGATTGCAGCCTGTTTTTTTCCCATTTGTTTTCAATCATCTTATGTTCTATTATCTTCTGCAATGTTCTGGACGAGCTTGCGTTACGTCGTCTCGCTTTTCACGTTTGATGCGTCTTCCAATCTGTCGCTGCTGCGCCTCTTTGTTCTTGTGGTCAGCCTGACCTCGGGGCGCACGTCGCGTTTGATAGGTCGCCATTAATTGATTTTGATAATGTCTTGTCTGCTTTATTCAGCAATTTTCGATTCTAGATTAATTCAGCATAGTAGGCTACATCGTGTTATGCTAACTTCGCTTCTAGTGTGTTCTATTACGCTGTGTCTTGCTACGTGGTGTTGGGTTCAGCTCTCTTCTTTGCTGTGCGGCTCCGTCAGTACCATGGTATGCGATGTGACGTTCGTTTTGTTGTTATGGCCAGTTTTGTTCGTTTCGGTTGGGGCAGTATTCGGTCCTTTGTAGCTATAGGCCTGATCTTCAATGACATTCCGATACTGCGCTCACATTTGCGCTCTTATTGGCTGCTGTGTAGTTATGGGGTTGAGCTCTTATTCTGGTATTGCGGTCTAGCCATGTTCTGTCGCACACTCCTGTTCGCACTTCCATGGTATTGCCATGTACAGCATGTATGTTGTGCCATTCGTTTTGAGCTTATGCTGCAATTTTTCAATGCCATGCTGTTGTAAGATGTACTCACTCTCCCACTGTTGTAGGAAACACTGTGTAACATGCGAGTGTACGACTCTCTGTTCTTTTATATTTGTTCTGTTCTGCTATATTAGACGTGCTCCATTTTCATTGCAATATGTGATGATGTTCCGTTATGAGCGATGTTCTGTCCAGACTGGTATACCCAATTGCGTTAAATTGCAGTCGTTGTTGATGTTGATTTATGCTTTGTATTATCGTATCATGGTACGGTATACAATATTATGACCCATTCTGCCTCATTACGATTCAATATGGTATGGCATGGCATGTTATGTGGCATTGTATTATGGGGTCATTTGTTATGTCTTGTTAGTCTCTGTTATCTCATGGTATGTCGGCTTGTGTTGTGTTATGGCATGCTCTGTTCAGTTCTGTTATGTAAAGTTCTGTTATGTTCGGTTGTGTTATTGACAGTTTTGTTATGTCGGAACCCCCCATACAATTTTTGATGACGCCTACGGCGAAGCACCGCCGCCCCCTGCCTTGTGGAAGCGCCTATGTGGCCGAAAGTTGGGCTAGAGATTGGCCAAGCTGCCAGGCTATGTGCTTCCCGAGTCGGGTTAGAACATCTTCGGGGAACGCGTGAGGGGTAATGCACACAGAGAGGAATTCGGTTTGGTCTGATTGCCGTTCTGGGGGGCATCCCTTGGCCGACTTAGGGCTCGCCTAACAGATTAACTGGCCATACACTGATAGTAGCTCACACATATGTCATAATCTACTCAACGATATTCTGCGAGTATTGATGTTCAGAGGTTGTCGTGTTGGGCTTTTAGGTTTAGATTTTCCCAGCGCTGATGCACCAGCGACTCCGTGGTCAAACTTTCCGGTGCAGGAGGTGGACAGGGTATCGGACCAGCTGTTCTCCGAACCGCCGTGGAAACCGTTCGGGGACCATGTGGACGAGAAAGCAGAATGTAAGTAAGAAGCATAATCCGCCGAACCTGTCGGTGTGTGGAACACGCTCTTTCGTTGGTCGCCGTCGTCGTCGTCGTCGTGTTGTCTCCGTCGTCTCCTCGTCGTCTCCGTCGTCTTCTCCGTCTCAGTCGTCTCTTCGTCGTCTCCGTCAATCGTCGTCTCCGTCGTCCCCGGTCTCCTTTCCCTGGGCCCTCCTCCTTAAGCGCGCCAGCCACAGCGACATTGAGCTATGTCGTAGCTGAGTCAAAGAGAAGTCCCTTCCTTTGACCCCTTCCCCGCCAGGGGGGGGTGTCCCGGGGGGTGGGTCCCGGGTGGTGAGTCCCGCGGGGTAGGTCCCGTGGTGTGGGTCCCAGGGGGTGGGAGGGGGTCCGCTACGCATCCCCCCCGGGGTCCCGGGGCTTCAGAAAAGCCCCAAGACGCGGCAAGAGTGCCCCAAGGCTCTCAAGATGGTCCTCGAGGGCCCCGAATCGCCGAACCAGCGGTCCAAAGTGCCAAAGTAGCCTCCAGACGGCTCACGAGGTTTGCCAAGCGCCCCAAGAAGCCTCCAAGAGCACTCCCCAGAGGGCCCCAAGGGGCAAACGTACCAATTTTCCTTAAGTTGTCCAACAATTTTGGCGTTCTCGCCTTGTCGGCTTCCCGACGCTCCAAGACAGCCCGAGAGGCCCCCAAGATCGCCCAAGAGGCCTCCAAGCGGGCCCCAAAACGACCCAAGAGGGCCCCAAGACCGCCTAAGGCGTCCAAGACAGCCCAAGAGGCCCCCAGTAAGGCTCCAAGAGGGAGCCCAGACGGGGGACCCGAATGGACATTTCGAGCCCTCGGTCTGAGAGGCTCCCAGGAAGCCCCCCAAGAAGCCCCTCAAGAGGCGACAAGAGACTCCCAAGAGACCACCAGGAAGCTCCAAGAGGCCTCCCTAGAGGCCCCCAAGAGCCTCCCAAGAGGCCCCAGAACTACCCCCAAGCAGCCCCCAAGAGCGCTCGTCGTCGTCGTCGTCGTGGTCGTCGTCGTCGTCGTCTTCGTCGTCGTCGTCTTCGCCGCCGCCGCCGCCGCCTCCGCTGCCGTCAGTGTCGTCGTCGTCGTCGTCGTCGTCGTCGTTCAGGGTCGGTGGCACGGGCCGTAAGGCCTCTTCGAAGAAGAATAAGAAATAATAAACATATGATAATCAGATTTTCTCAGGGTCCTTGTGGGTACTATCTTGGAGGTAGGAGAAGGAGGAGGAGGAGGAGGAGGAGGAGGAGGAGGAGGAGGAGGAGGAGAAGGAGGAGGAGGAGGAAGAGGAGGAAGAGGAGTATGACGAGGAGGCTTCTTGGGAGCCTCTTGGGGCACTCTTGGGGCCTCCTGGGAACTTCCTGGGGGCCTCTTGGAGGCCTCTTGGGTGCCTCCGCTTCTGGGGGGCCTCTTTAGCTGCTTAGGGCGTTCCTGGCCCGTCTGACGCCGTTGGAACCCGTCTTGGGGGATTCTCTGAACTGACTTGGGGCCCTCTTGGGGCGCTTCATGGCCATCCTGGAGGCCATGTTGGGCGTCTTGGAGGCCTCTTAGGCTGTCTTGGGGCCCTCTTTGCCGTCTTGGGGGCATCTTGGGCCGTCACGGGGCCATCTTGGAGGCCTCTTGTGCGATCTTGGGGCGACCTTGGGGCTTCTTGGGCCGTCTTGGGCCATCGGAAGGCCGAAAAGAAGCAAATGCCCAAATTCTTCAACAACAGCAGGACAATCTATGATTTTGGCCTCGTCGGGCCTCCCTGGCGGACCTCTTGGAGGCCCCTTGGGCCGTCTTGAAGGCTCTTGGGTGCCGTCTTGGGCCATCTTGGGCTGTCTCGGTGGCTTCTTTGGTGGACTCGGGGAACTCTTGGACCCTCTGCGGCCGTCTTGGAGGCCCAATTGGACCATCTCGGGCGAGCTTGGAGTCCATCTTGGCCGTCTCTTGGCCGTCCCCTGGCCGTCTTGGACGCCATCCGCGGCCCGAAAAAACGCACGCCCTGTACGCTTTCGGCGGCTCTCCGGGTGGCCGGCGCGCTGGGCCGAAGCCCCCGGGGGGAGTGCTTTTGGAAAGGAGCCAACACCAAAAGCCGTAGGGTTTAGCACGCAAGGCGCCCCTTGTGATGAGGGGGCGGCGGATATCCGATTGCCTTCGACCCACCCCGCCACCGTGCCTGGGTTGTGGGTGAGCGGCCTCTTGGGCGTTGGGATCTCGTGGGGGGCCTCTCGGGGCCTCCTGGAGGCAGTTTTGAGGCCTCTGGGGGCTGTTTTGGGGCGTCTTGGGGCTTCTTTCGGGATTCTTGGGTGCCTCTTGGGGCTTCGTGGGGGTCTCTGGGGAGCCTTTTTGGGCCTCGTGGGGGACTCTTTGGACCTCCTGGGCGCCTCTTGATTCGGAAGGCCCGGATGTTCGGTTCGTGTTCCTTGGGGTCCTCTTGGGCCGTCTTGCCCGACTGTAGCGCAACGTAGCCCGACTATTATTTTATCTGCATTTTTTCCCATCCAGTGTCCTACGCACCTCCAGGTGTATGACTTCTTGCTTGCTTGCTTGGGCCGTCTTGGGCACCCCTTGCTCCGTCTTGGGGCCTTCGTGGGACGTTTCGAGGGCCTCTTGGGGGCCTCTGGGGCCGTCTTGGGGGAGTCCTGGGGGCCTCTTAGGACGTCTTGGAGCCTCGGGCGCTCGAAAAGTGGAGAGTCCCCAAAACATGGGAAATACCCAGAAAGGAAAGTGCTCTCCGGGCCCTCTTTGGGAGGCTCTTGGGGCTCTCTTGGGAAGTCTCGAAGGCTTCGGGGGCTATCTTGAGCCACTTTTGAGCGTTTTGGACCAATCGTATAGCGATTTGGGGCACCCTTGAATCTTCTTGGCGAGCTCTTGGGGGTCTCGTGGCCCGTCTTGGGCCTCTCTTGGCCCCGGAAAAGTTCTGCGACACCACTCCGGCAGTCCCAGAGGACATGCGGGGAGCCCTGGAAGATTTGTGAATTTGTGGTCCAGGCCCCTCGAACCATCTTCAGGATTGAGGACTGAGGCTTCAGGG